GGGGGGGGGGGGGGAATGATATGAGAATACGGCAACACTGAATGCCACATCAATTGGGGAATGAAAATTCAGGAACAGAATACATCATCGGGATCGGGAACTGCGCAGCTAGCCCCGTAGAAACAAGTTGTACAAGATAGCCACAAGTCATGGCAATTTCTTTTTTGCATAGCAAAATGCTTTTGTACTTTTGAAAATAGAAGGAATTAAATGAAATGAAATCCTTTTGTTTTTATCTTGTTTCTTGTCTGAACGATGAGTTAATTTTTCCATTTGAAAGTTAAACAAGTACTTCAAATGTTAGTACCGTAATGAACAGGAGACGTCCTCTTCAAGAGCACCATAAACATAAGAGGGCCCTCTCTTATAAAAAACCCTCTCGTTAAAGGGTTGGTTCCGGAAGAATCAATGCCCGGAATCTAGAATGCCATCGGGGGAAAATACACCTGAAGCCGCATACGAAACAGACGCAAAAGGCAAACTTGCGCAAATACTCATGGAAACCCTCACGAAAAAGGGATAATACTCGGAACCAAAATGCTTCAAAGAAAAAGCATCCGAGATTACACATAATAAGCGTGAATAGAACAACATGCGCAGAATACTTGAGCAAGTACGAAAGTTAAAGACTTGCATGAAAATTCAAATGAAAATAAGACTCAAATGATACTTGAGCATAAAATATGTTTTTATTTACAAGGACGCGTCAAAATGATAAAGGTAAAAATAGAAAAATAAACAAAAAGCTAAACTGCAGCGTCTCCAGAATCAAGAGGAAGAGAAGTATTTGCATCCCTGGGAGTAGTAGATGGTTCCACCGATGGCTCAATATTTTCCCCAGCTTGGTATTCAGCATCATCGCCTTCCGATCCTTCTTCAGTTTCTGAAAACTCGGAACCGGAATTAGAAGAACCTGGAGCATCAAACTGAGCTGGGAGTCTTTTTTTGCAACCAACTCAAGCTCTCAAGCCTTAGCAATTTCGGCATCAATGTCAACGATACCAGTCTTGGCCTCTTCCAAGGTTTTTCTACTCATGCTATACATGGAATAAGTTTTTTCAACAATGAGGGAGGCCGCTCGGTGCTTAAGTTTTTCTTTATTTGAGTAACCTCGGCGGAATGGTTTTCCCGGTAGACCTAACAGATTTGAGACTGACGTCGAGCTCACGGACAGTTGAACTAAAGAGCCTATTATGCTCAATAGTTTTCCTATACTTCTATTCTCTCTGGGCATGTTTCGCCCCCACAGCAGCAAGCTCTTCACTTTTGGAGTTCAAGGTTACTTCCAAATTAATCACCCTTTCAGCGGAGGCAGCCTCACGCTCGGTTGCAGCAAGAATGACGTCCTGGACTTCAGCCCATTTAGCCTTGGCTTCGTCAAATATAACCCTCAGCGGGCCAACCTCTTGGCTAAGAGCTATCACTTCTTGCTCGCTTTGCTACAAACGAGCTTCCAAAGCATCGGCCTTGGTGGCTTTGGTTTCCAGTTCTTAGAGACGGAGAATGGTTTGGTCCTGTTCCACCAAAAGTTGATCCCGTTCAGAAGTAAGTCCTTCCTTCTCACGAATCAACCTTTGAAGGCCCTCAAAAGCAAGAAAGTTGGCCCGCAAAATAAAAAGAGGTAAAACTTAAAATACATTCATTCAAAAGTAGGAGAAATAACAGAGGAAGAAAGAAACGTACCGTTGCGGCGTTATGCGTAGCATTGTTCAACAAACACTCTCTCGAGAGTATCTGAATCTTTTCCCAATCCTTCTCTGAAGCCAAAGGCTTTAGATAGTTAGCAAGCTCCACCGGCCCGGAAAGAAGATTGTATCCGGTAGAGACCAAAAGAGTAACATTCCTCCTCTTCTGAGGATCTTTAGAAGAGGCAGCATAATTTTGCCCCAAATTCCCATGAACTGGGGACTGTGGAAGAGAAACGCCTTCTTCATGGTCAGGTGCGGCCGCCGGAGATGATGTTGCTGGTGGAAGAGTGGATAAATATGGAAGTGATGTAGCACTTGATGGTGTTTGAGAAGATGGTGATGAAGCTGATAGGGTAGAAGAATGAGAAACAGCTGTGTCAAAAGCAGCATTGGATGTTGGGTGCTCGCCAATCGAAGACGGCAAGGACCCGGTACTTTGCCTCGCAGTACCGGGCACAATAATTGGGGCCCGAGAACGGGAGTTGGCATTATCTACCAAATCAAATTCTTCCCAAAGTGCCGAGACATCATCCTCTGTTAGTATGACTGTCTCAACAGGTTGAGCATCCTGTTGAGATGATAAGGACTGTCGCCTTCTATGAAGAGAAGCTCCCTCATCACTAGCTTCATCATCATCATCATCAATCATCACAGTGTCTATGGCCGGCCCAGAAGGAGGACCAGGTGTCATCGCCACCGGAGATAGCTCAGGGGCAGCAGTCTTCGCTCGCTTATTCTTTCCCCCAGCTGTAGAGGAACGTCTTCTCTTTGGTTGCTTGTTCTCTAACCGGGGACTCCGTGAACAAGAAACCTAATTAGGGGTGGGCATTAAAATCCGAAAAATTAAATTCCGGACCAGACCGAATTAATTCGGTATTTCAGTTTTGATTTTTTTGGTATTTCAATATAATTCGATATTAAATTTTTGGTATTCCGGTATAACGGTACGGTCCTCGGTATTAAGATTTTGATATTTCGGTATACCAAAATACCGAATTTATAAAGTATTCCATGTGCTTCCTAATTCTGAATTCCTTGTCCTACACTGCCCTAGCCCAACCCAAAATTTTAAGTTTATTTCTAGCCCAATAACTCAAGGCTAAGCCCAAGTCCATTACTCTCTTAGTCTTTTTCCCTTATTTCTAAGGATTGGAATTAGAATTAGGTTTCTCAATAAGTGAAGAATAGATCGGCTGTGAGCTTGTGGCTGCGAGTCCACGACTACGATGGAGACGGCGTCACGACGACTTCACGACCTCAGCGCCGATGACTCTCAAGTGTGACTTCTTGTTTCCTCATTTTTACCTTCATTCTTCAATCTTCAATATTCAACTCTTCAATAGGTTCATAACTTCTTCATTCTTCATTCTTCATTAAGTTAGTACGTTGAACAATTGACTTAAGGATAATATAGTAAGTACAGAAGTAACATTTTGGTATCTTATTTATAGTTAAGTCATGGAGACTTATGGGTAGTTGGACGCCATTTACAGAATACATTTCACCACATGGCCTGGAAGAAATTAAGAGGGAAAGAACTAACTTATGTTCTATCTGCAACTTGTTATTCAACTTTTCAGTAGTTTGGGTGTACACAAATAGATTTAAGGGACTATTTTATCGTAGCTATTGTAGTTTCCACCAGGTCTCTTTTCCTTGGGCATTGTGATACTAAACATAGTTGTGTGAGGCAGATAGAAACAAATTATTTTATGCTTTTCTTTGAACGCAATATTAAAAAGATAAAAAAAAAATTGGCCAAACCAAAATCATATTCTAAAACTTTTATGCGAATCACTTTTCAAGTATCATTAAAAAAATTAATTGTATACATGAAAACTAATTGTATACACCAAAATCAGATTCTAATTGTAACTCTAATTAACCAATTGTAAAAAAATTAATTGTATACATGGAAACTAATTGTAACCAAAATCAGATTCTAATTAATTGTATACACCAAAATCAGATTCTTAACTCAACTTTAGTCTCAATTTGTATTTGACTGTTTGTTTTTTTTAAAATTAATTTTGTATAGATGGCAGATGAAAGTAGATTAAGTGATGCCGGTTCAACTGAAAGCTTACCTATTACGGAAGATAGCAACACCAACACAATTGATACTTAAGATTCTAAGAAAAGAAAAGCCATAGAACCTAGATCCGAAGTTTGGAAATATTTTGATAAATTTGAGGTAAATGGGGTCGGTAAAGCAAGGTGTAGATATTGTAAGCAAGCTTATGCTGCTAATACTTCTAGGAATGGAACAACATGCTTGAAAAATTATTTGACTAGATGCAAAGAATACCCACCTAACATTGATAAAGATAATACTCAAACAAAGATAAATTTTCAATCTTGCCTAAATGAAGGAGGATCACTTTGAAAATTTGATCAAGAAGTGGTTAGGAGGGCTTTAATTGAGATGATAGTTATTGATGAACTACCATTTAGCTTTGTAGAAAAGGAAGGCTTTATGAAGTTTATGAGAATAACTCAATCACTATTTCGTCTTCCTTCTCGTAGAACAATAACAAGGGATTGTTATGAAGTTTACGGTGAATTGAAGTAAAATCTAAGAAGGTCTTTTAGAGAAGCACAACCAAAAATTTGCCTCACAACAGACACATAGACTTCATCGCAAAGAATAAATTATATGTGTTTGACATCCCACTTCATTGATAGGGATTGAAAATTGCATAAAAGAATACTAAATTTTTTCCCTATCACTAGTCATAAGGGTGAAGAGATGGTTAAAGCTATTTGTAATTGTTTGCTTGAATGGAAATTAGATAAGGTGTTCACTATTACCGTGGATAATATTTCTTCAAATGATGTCACAGTCAAATAATTGTCTAAAAAGTTAGATATGTGAAAAACTAATATGATGAGTGGTAAACATCTTCATGTGAGATGCATGGCTTATATACTTAATCTAATTGTGCAAGATGGTTTGAAAGAAATTGATGCTTCTGTCACACGTCTTAGAAATACTGTGAGGTATGTGAGATCGTCGCCTGAAAGGACCTTAAAGTTTAAACAATGTTGTACACATGTAAAGGTAGAATGTACCAAAACATTGTGTTTGGATATTCCTACTAGGTGGAATTCCACCTATTTGATATTGGATACGGCACAAAACTTTGAAAAGGCCTTTGACAAGTTTCATCTTTTTGATAATGGATTTTCTGCTTATCTCTGTTCTCATTTTTGTGAAGATGGTAGTAGTACAGGTCCTCTTGAATTTGATGATTGGGTGAATATGAGGAATATGATAGAGTTTCTTGCAAGATTTCACGAGCTCACTAAAAACGTTTCAGGTTCACGTTATGTCACATGTAATTCTCATTTTGAGGATGTATCTGAACTTTATTGTCATTTGAAAATGTGTTTAATTAGTGAGGATGAGCATTTGAGAAAAATGGTTGAGCTGATGCAAGAAAAGTTCAAGAAGTATTGGGGTGAGCCTGAAAAGATGAATAAAATAATTTTTATTGCTTCCGTCTTGGATCCACATAACAAGTTTGAATATGTTAGTCTTGCACTTGAAGAACTTTTGGGGAGGAAAAAGGGGAAGAAAATAAATGTTGAGTTGTATACTTATATGAATTCTTTGTTTGGAGAGTATCTAAAAAGTATTCAACGGGATCTTGTCCTCAATCTCCATATATATGTACTTCATCTAATAACACATCTAATACATCTAGTGGGAGTGTTATAACTGCATCATTAATAAGGACGAAGCTTCACTTAAGAAACAAAAGGAAGACAATGGAAGTGAGGGTGCTAAATCGGAGTTGGATAAATACATTAGTAAAGAACAAGAGCCTTTTAGTGAAGAATTTGATATCTTAAGTTGGTGGAAAACACATGTTCCTAGATTTCCTATTCTTTCATAGTTGGCTCGTGATGTGTTGGCCATTTCAATTTCTACTGTGGCGTCAGAATGTGCGTTTAGCACCAGTGGCCGTATTGTTAATTCATTTAGGAGTTCATTGACTCTTAAATGCGTGCAGGCTCTTGTTTGTGTTCAAGATTGGCTTAGAGAAGAAAAGAATCCTATTAGTATTGAAGAAGACTTGGAGTATCTTGAGGAACTCGAGCTTGGTAAGATTTAATATTTTGTATGTATTTTAGTTCAAAATAATATATTACACTTGTTTATTTGTATGACATATTTATTTGGTCGAATTATCTTTATATATGAAAAATAATGGAAGCACTACTACCATTGTTTGATCACTTTGACGTATAGTTGCAACTTGAGTGGTGAGTTTAATACTCTGTTTGTTTGGTGATATACTTTTTTAGTTTTGTTCTTTTATCATCAAAAAATAATATTCTAACTTATGATTTTATCTTCTTCTTTTTTAGGTTCAAGTTCAATCATGCCCCGTGCTCCTAAATTTGATTCGAGAGTCGAGATTATTTATGTTATTTTGATTTTTGAGCATTTGTTAAACTTATTTAAGCTTAATGTGTTAGACACTTAGACTTATGATGTTATGGGCCAGTGTTCTTATCATCTTATGTTGGTATTGTTGCTGCTTGCCTACTTATTAGTTAAACTTTACAACTTTATGTTTGGCAGAATGGCAGTAGCGAGTAGGTTTGCAAACTTTGCATAATGTTGCTGATGTGACTTGTGAGTGTGTGGCACTTTAGTTGTTATTACTTATTGGTATAAACTTGAATTCTCTCTATTTTTGTTGCATTGTGTTTAATGTTGCTGCTACTCGTTAGTGGTTGTTGCATGATGCATCTATATATTTATTGCATCTGTGTAAAGTGTAAATTTAAATTAAAAATTCTGCTGCTAGGTTAGAAATTCTGCTGCTGGGTTGCTACTCAGAGTTTTCAGTATGATTTTGCAGTCCATTTTTGGTTTTAGTGGTGCTGACTGATGATGCCTATGGATTTGATTCATTTCGAAAAGATTTTTCTTTTAATAAAAATCTTTCCTTTCATATTAGTATTAAATTTAGTCATTATCATTTTGCTTTCTAAAGGAAAGATATTACTTATTAGTGGTGTTGAATGCTGATGCCTCTGGATTCCATTTCCATTCAATAAGAAATGAAAGGAAAGATTTTCCTTAATTAGGAATGCACTGAAATTTTGTTTCTGCTTGCTAACGCTCTTAGCACTTAGCAATTAGCAGTACGTGACACATGAATATGTATCAAACCAAAATCGTACCGAATCAAAATAAGAAATACCGAACCGTACCGTTTGGTATGGTATTTGATATACACAATTGATAAACCGAATACCGAACCAAATTTTTTAATACCGAACCGAAATACCGAATGCCCACCCCTAGACATAATTTCATAAACAAGTCAGAGGGGTTCAATCGATATGCAAAGGAGAGAAAGATGGGAGCGAGGTAAGTTCAAATTACCGTGATTTTTGGCCCTCCACCCGTACTTAAGGGTGAGTTCTTTCCATAAACGAGTCTCGGGCGTCGTAACATCCAAGATCTTCTGAACCCACCGGCCCAAGCCTTCTACCATCGGTGGGATCCATCGAGGCGCTGTAACATACGAAGGTTGAAGGATCAATACATGCATGAAAGAATATTTAGTAAGAAAAAATATGTTAAAAAGAAATCTTACGAGTACGATTCCAAGCACTCGGAAAGGATGATGTCGTTGACAGAATGATATTATTGGTGGCAGTTGCAACGAACCATTTCGTCCACCCACAGTCGTTATCATCATCCATTCTAGTCAACAGAGTATGATGGCCACGTTTGCAGAGATTTATCATACCTCCCCGAAAAATCTTGGGGGAGTAAAGGTTTATCATACGAGCTAATGACAGCTCTTCTCCAGTTTCTTGATACAGGCGTCGAAGGCAGACAACCGTCCTCCATACTGAAGGGCTTACCTGTGCCAAGCACACTTGATAGCGAAGGCAAAATTCCGCAATCACGAAATCAAGCTCTCCACTCAAAGAAAATGCACCCAAAGTAAAGGGATACGTGTAAAAGTATGTAAAACCTTCCTTGGGAAGGGTCACTCGCTCCGATAGATCGGGAGCGATAATATCCAATTCATGGCAACAACAATTTTTCTTCACAACGGGAATACTGAAAGGACGAATGGAAGAAGGGTACCTGCTAACAACTCATGTGCGAGGGTTAGCAGAAGGAAATTTTCCCTCAAAATCCTTTGCGGTATTGAGTCTTTTTGGTATGATGGAGTCTACTGTTGGAGGAACGAAATCCTCGGTTTTGTTCTTGCCCTTTGAAGAACTAGCACATTTTGAAGAGGAAGCCAATGGAATAGAAAGAAGGAAAATTTCTCGTTCGAGGAAGATCAGAGAAAAGTTGGGAAATAAAGATGCAAGTTAGAAGTTTGAGAGATTATGAAGTACATAAGATGAGGATGATGCGTATAACTAAAATTTTGACGGCTAAATTCATGGTCATGATTACCTCGATAAGCGGCAAAAAGTTATGCTGAATCGTTGGATGACGCGTGTTCGGGGCATTAAATGCGGAGAGACAGGTGTCTAATCAACCGTCAGTAGCCTTCAAAAGGAATAATAGTAATTCTCGCCAAAAGAATATTTCTATCAATTTTCCGGTAACACAAAGTTATGTCACCCGAAAGCAGGGGGACTATCTGTATAGGGAACAATATGACATGACATGTGGCCGCTTAAAGGAAGGACACGTGGAACACAAGATGGAGATGACCACCGAACATAGTTATTCCGCTTTTCACCGGAAAGAATAACGATCATAAAAGGAGTATTAAATACTTTGCGCCCGGTAACATTTAATACAGAATATTTTGCAACATTAAGGATGATGGCCCGTTACAAGAAATTTGACATTTATGTCTAACGTTACATCTTCATCAATGACACTCATAATTGACATTAAAAAAGGACAAGATCCTAGGACTTCCTTCCCTAGACATAGCTATAAGTAGAGAGCTCAGTTACCATTGTAAAGGAGACGAATTTTCAGGCTAACTTATACACAATCTATACAGCATTTTAATACAATTTTATTCTCTCGCTTTTGATCTTATCATTATTGTGCTCGGGAACCCTGTTCCCTGACTCATCAGCTCTCTTGTTCCATCTACATTCTAAGGCTAAGTATTTTATATTTCATCAGTTATTTCGCTATCTTTTGGATCAAATTAATTCACTTGTCTAGAAAAATAAATTCAACTGTCCGTTTTACGGGCAAACATAAATATTATTAATAGTACTTTCCTTTCATGTTATAGATAGAGTACTTTTTTCATTTCAACGAATGAGTATTTTTTTCCATTTTAACAAAAAAAGTACTTTCTTTTCATGAAGTAGAAAAATATTTTCTTTCATGTCAACAAAATGATGTAGAAAAAATATTTTCCTTTATTTCAACAAAATGATGTAAAAAATAATTTTTTTCATGTCAACAAAAAGATGTATAAAAAGTATTTTATTTCATTTCAACAAAATGATATAGTAAAAAGTTTCTTTCATTTTAACAAAATGATGTAATAAAAACTATTTTCTTTCATTTCAACAAAATAAGTATTTTCTTTTACTTCAATAAAGTGAGTCTTTATTTTCATGTTGTAGAAAGAGTACTTTTTTTTCAACCAAAAAAATATTTTTTTTTTTTAGTTATGGAGCACAAATTAGAGACGTTGTTTTTGCGTAAAAAAAAAGTAAAGTAGCACATTAATTCCTTTGGGTTTGTGTGANAAAATTATTTTCCTAAAAAATATTTTCTACTCTCTAACCAAACACTAGAAAATATTTTTCGGAATTTTTTTTTCATTCACCAACTAAACGAGGGAAAATAAGTGATAAAACCTATCATTTTATAAGAAAAACTTTTTCATAAAAAATATTTTCTTTCCTACCAAACACACCCTTAATATTTTCAACACACCAAGATGCGTCACTTCTACTTATTTCTTTGCCAACCAGACATACTGGAGTAGTTTTAGGCCCTTGATTGTGCTAAAGCCTATGGCAAGATTGTTAATGTGAATCTAATCTTGACGAAAAATTACTATATCGTCAAATTCAAATAAAGAGAAAGAGGTTTGATATGATGTTGATTTAGAAGAATTTAATGCTTCCATTGAAGAATCATTGCATTCATTAAGGAACCTATTCAGCTTTACAGTTGTTTGTCAATAAAGAGTTATATATGTATACATTTTTTTTCCACATGTGTACATAGTTCCGCCCGTGTATCAAGCCAATTGGTTGAGAGAGTAAATGCGGTTACAGACACATCATCGTCAGGCTAAGGCTAGTGGTGACAAAATAAATTTCTTTACAAAAACTTATCAATCTATATTATTTATTAAAAAATGAGTTAAGATAATAAATTTTATAAAAATGAGTCAAATATAGATTAAATTCATATTATACCCTTAGAAATGGATAAATCATGAATTTAACTTTTATATTTTTAGAGACTCAAATTGGGAGAGTAAGAATTCTCCAAAAAATGATCATATTCAAGAAACCATAGATAATATTATTATCAATAATAATCATATTATCCGCTGGTTAACTCATTTTCTATCCGCATTAAATATGGGTCGGGTCAAATATTTTATCTATTTTTATATTATCCGTTTTGATTCATCCATATCCGACCCGACTCATCCGTTTGCCACCCCTAGGCTAGAGAAAATAACACTGCATGGCCGCCTAAAAAATTTAATAGCCCAAAATTTTGCACTTTACCCGAAATGTCCAGTGGAATAAATTTAATAATAAATCATAGCCATTAGCACAACTATTACTGTCTGAACTAAAATCTCTCATATTTCCATATTCATACAACATCGCATACTCCTAAAAACTTTATTATTTATTATACATGTTTTCCAACCTAGCATTATCTTTTTCGTCCCATTTCTCAAGAATAATTTTTTATCTTCTAGAACTCACTCACCTGTAGAAATTGCTCACATCTTCTTTTTTTGTCTTCTTCTCCTTCATTTTCTTTCTTTGTAGGTTTCTCTCTCTTCTTTATTCATTCTCCTTTTTCTATTTCACTTCAGATCTAGATTTCTTTCTTTTTATTTTATATTTTATATGGAAAAGCTTCTTTTGAGTAGATAGAAAAGTTGTCAAAAATTTAATTTAAATCTTAAAAGAATTTCTTCGATTAATACTACGGTAATGATATTAGAGTGGCAGTAGAAGAGGTAAAATTTTTTAGTCAAGCTCTGTGTATTTCTGTTGGTGTTTTATTGGTGGTTATGGTAATTTTTGTGAGGATATAAGATTTTATGGTAGATCAACAAGTTATTTTTCATACATGTGGTTGCTTCTTCTTCCTCCTCCTCCTCTTCTTCTTCTTCTTCTTCTTCTTCTTCTTGTCATAATGGTGTTTTGTGAGTGAAGATCTTTTATAGTGAGTGTTGATGGTGGGTCTGGGTTTAATAAGGAAGTTGGACGGTACTTATATGTAATTTTGTATATATATACATATACAATGTATTAAATATTTTATATACGCATATATAGAGTTGTACATATACGATAATTTGTATTGTAGTTTTGTATAAAAATTATATATATATTATTATGATAAGTATAAAAGTTGTATATACATTGTATCCTAGGTTTGGCAATGCACTTTGTGTATATTGAGTGTATCTGAATGTGTTTGTATATCCAAAGCGTATATTGAATTTTTTATACATGATTATATAATGTATATATACTACACAATATGTATACATCATGTATATATTATGTATGTATACTATAAAATATTTATATATACTATATACAAATTATATACATAATTTATACACGATTGATACATATTGTGCAATTATATTTTTGTATAAAAATTGTATATAAACCGTTATATATGTATAGAAGATGTATATTTACAGTTAAACAATATATAAAAGTTTTATATGCAATATTTCCTGAGTTTGACAATGTATTCTTAGTGTATTCCGAGCTGTTGTGTATTTTAAGTGTATAAAAAATATATATATTGTTCAACGATGTATAATAAGCATATAGTACGTGTACAACCTATACATCACCTTGTTCTTCTTCTTCTTCTTCTATCATGGGTATTTTTGCTTATGTAATATTATATTTTTCTAAATTGGATCACTAAAATTTAAAATTCTTTGTAAAAGTTAAAAAGGGGGTTATAATTTGTGTATAATAGGAAGAAGTTTGTTGGTTGTGGAGAAGACAGTTGAGTTTGATGAAATTTTAGGGCTGAAAGGATAGCTTTTACGGGATTTCACTAGATATGAAGGATTTTGGGGTGATTTGGCGAGATTTCAAATTTTTTAACTACTAACATTAATTTTAAAAGAATGTTAGGCTAGAGGTTGGGCTAGCAGCTATTATGATTGCATTGAGGAGCCAGAGTTTTTCGTTGGTTTTCTAGGTTTCACTTGCTAGCCCTTATAATTATTTTTGAGCTATAAATTATATACCTTTTTTTGTGGCTACCAGTTATCGTTAGTTTTCACCGAGTGGCTACAAATGAATTTCTCTCCCTAGACTAAGGCAACTTTACGAACAAGGGCGGTGGGATTGAAGATGTACGTCATGTCCGAAGATCTCTGTTCACGGAGGAAACATAGGCAAGAATCCAGGTTCCTTCAGAAGATGTTAATGTTCTTAGTTCTTAGACCTCAATGTTCCACCACACAGAAGCTAGTAAACTCCTTTCCACATGTATATACCTTGACTTGAAACAAGGCCCCATCTTGTTAAAACATCCTTATTTTAGTTCATCCCATAAATTCCTACTTGTAATATGCAATTAACCTAAAATATTTAATATCACTACGACTAAACCTCTCTACTTTCTGCAAGTTGAAAGAAATGGAGCATATTAAGTAGTGTATCATAGGCCAACTTGTTTCCTGTATACTTAAAGCACTTCATTATTCTCTAATCACGGACTGATAGTCATGTGATTTGCTTCCAGATCTGCCAGAGAAATTGTCAACTCCTTTTATTATACTCTGTTGCAAGTCCCAAAGCATTGACTATCGATTATAAACTACGCAAAGCATTACACAGATCCATCTTAAACTGCAAGTTTCTTCTTCAAGATCTAGTTAGAATGAACCAACGCAATATAACTGAGTATTTTACTGGCAAATTGCAGAAAATAAAATATGACTTGATAAAGAAAAAGTTCTTGGCCTACTCTATAAGAGGCCAAGGGGGAAAACAAACTTCACCATCTTGAGCGGAGAAAATGAGTAACCTAATAAACAAGTGGTTTTTCGCCATTGTGATACTCTTCCTAGCTGGTCTAACAGAGATCAAAGGAGGAGAACTTATAACCTGCAATAACAGGAAAAGCAAATGCTTTCTGAAACGATTTAACTGCCCACCAGAATGCCCAACAGTACATCCAAGTCAACCAAACGCTAAAGTTTGCTATCTCAATTGTAATTCCCCCATGTGCATGCCTGAGTGCAGAAGTGAGAGTTTCTCTCGATATATATGTTCTTAATCCTTGATCTATTTCTTTTTTAATGTTATATTCACATGCTTGATACTTACAGACAGGAAGGCGAATTGCAATCACCCCGGAGCAGCATGCTTGGATCCTCGCTTCATTGGTGGAGATGGAATTGTCTTTTACTTCCATGGCAAGAGCAATGAGCATTTCAGCTTAGTTTCAGACCTTAATCTCCAGATTAATGCTCGCTTCATTGGCCTTCGACCTGCTGGTAGACCCCGAGACTACACATGGATTCAAGCTCTTGGAATCCTCTTTGACACGCATGCTTTCTCTGTTGAGGCTACCAAGGCAAAGACTTGGGACGACCAAGTTGATCACCTGAAATTCTATTATGACGGAAAGGAGTTAGGCATACCAGAAGGCTATCCATCTACATGGGAATCCTCTGAAAGCAGCAGCATTAAGGTAGAAAGAACTTCAAGCAAGAACGGTGCTTTGATCACACTTTCAGAAGTTGCAGAAATTTCAGTTAATGTAGTACCTATTACAAAAGAAGATGACAGGATCCACAACTATCAGTTACCTTCTGATGACTGCTTCGCTCACCTGGACGTGCAGTTCAGATTCTATGGACTCTCGACGAAGGTTGAAGGTGTTCTTGGCCGAACTTACCAGCCAGACTTCAAGAATCCAGCAAAACTAGGTGTTGCGATGCCTGTAGTGGGAGGTGAAGACAAGTACAGAACTCCAACCCTTTTGTCTCCCAACTGTAACTCCTGTATCTTCTCTCCAGCTGGAGTTTTGGAAGAATCAGACCCACTAGTCATGGATTTTGGGGCTTTAGACTGTACTGGGGGATCAAGCAGCGGCCATGGAATAGTTTGCAGAAAATGAGGACTCTATTGGGATTTTGTTTCTTTTGTTTCAATTGAAAAAATTGTCACCTGCAGAAAATAAAAAGCTTTTTTGTTCCACCAATCTATGTCAAAGCATGGATTTCTAGTTTTATTTGGGCTTTTTGTATGTTTATTATATAATCAAGTTTTTTCCCTCAAGGATACATGACTACTGATATGCCCTAGTTCAGAATTACAAATTGCATATGTATATAAGAAATCAAAAAAACTTTTCAAGTGTAACCTACGAAAAAATGCTAGAACTGGATACATTAAAAGAGCGGCTAAGAACTTTAAGCGTAAGAAATGGTTAGCATTAGCCCAATACTGCATCAAAGGAAATTATCGAAGCATATGATATGAAAGATCCAACAACAGAAGAATCAGATTTCCCACATATTAATAACTACCAGATGTTTAAGATGTTGAGAAGCCCGCAGCACAACTTCTATAGAGGATTAGTGTATGCAAAACAGAAAGATAATCTGTGTTCAACTGCACTGTTTCATAACCAAATTGGTAAAGCTCAGTCAAAGCCGATTCCCCAACATGGAGTTTATCTCAAAACAACGATCAATTTAAGAGAGCATTATTGTTGTCTTTATGGAAACAAAGGCAGAAGTAAAAGCTTGACAAACTCAGCCACTATCAGAAGATAATTCAGCTAAAGTGCTGCAGCAATTGCTTAATATTGTTACTCTCTGAGTCACTGATTACAATGCTTTGACAATTTATAGTCATGATATCTATGAGAAAAAGAAAGAAAAAAGCAGCTGTATCACCTATGTAATTGTTCAAACAAGGTTACAACTCTTAGTATTACAAAGACAAATTTCAATGGATGCCCAGCTCCACAAATCATTTACAGTACATACTCTGAGCATTTTTATTCAGAAAAATTGACTCAAATACTATGAATGAAAAGATTTTTAAATGACATTAACTCTCTGTTGAAGCCATAAAATGAAAATTTTGGGATGTCAAATGGCTGAACCACATACACCAGAGACTGTTTCTTTTTACCTTCCCCGTGGGTTTACCAGCTGAGAGAAAACAGCACTAGTGGCAGCATCCTCTGCATCATCATCAGTTCCAGAGTTAATCCCTTCAATCATACTCACACTATTGTCGAATGGCTCAAGTGGTGTCAAAGGTATGCCGGGTATATGGTTTGTACTGTTATCATCAGGCTCCGCCAGCGCTGATGAGGTTTCCTCAAGCTGAAGAGCATATTCGAGATTCCACAGAACATCTCCCATTGAAGGTCTATCAACTCCATGGTCAGCCAAACACTTCTCCGCCGTCTCCCCAAACTTCTTAAGGGAGGCTGAAGTCACCTTCCCTGCAAGATTTGGGTCCATTATCTGATCCAACATGCCTTTCTTTTGCCAAGTCATGGCCCATTCCGCTATATTGACTTGTTCCCGTGGTAGGACTGGATTCAGTGCAGGTCGGGTGCACAGCACTTCCATTAGGACAACACCAAATGAATAAACATCTGATTTCTCTGTAAGCTGCTGTCTTCTAAAGTATTCAGGATCCAGGTATCCAAAGCTACCTTTAACAGCAGTACTGACGTGGGTCTGATCAAGAGCTGGTCCCGTTTTAGAGAGACCAAAATCAGCAACTTTGGCTACAAAATTCTCATCCAAGAGTATGTTTGTAGTTTTCACATCACGGTGAATGATGCTCTGGGATGCACCAGTGTGTAGGTAATGCAGCCCCCTTGCAGCACCTATACAAATCTCAACACGCTGTTTCCAAGAGAGAGGTGGAAGATCCGTTCCATAAAGATGACTTCGGAGAGGTCCATTCGCCATGTATTCATAAACCAATATCATTTCTGATCTTTCATCACAATAGCCAATCAAAGACACAAGATGGCGGTGGCGAAGTTTGGACAACATTTCAATCTCTGTTCGAAATTCAGCTAGACCTTGTTCAGATCTCGGGTTGCCTCTTTTGACAGCAAGCTTTGTCCCATCTTCTAGTGTTCCCTTGTAGACTCTACCAAAACCACCAACACCAAGAAGCAAGCTTTCGTCAAATTTATTCGTAGCATCCATTATTTCTTGGAAACTGAAGAATCGACCAAGATTGGCTGAAACTAAGGAGATACAGCTTGCTGTTCCACTCTTTTGAGAAGTTGTAGACATCTTTGTCAAAGTTAAAGAGTTTCCATACAGCGGAAGTGGAAGCCATGGGTGCCCCTGCCCCTGTTGAGAGGTCTTTGATCTGCGGGCTACCAAGCAGCAATAACACAACCCAATAATTGCTAATGCAGCTGATGCTCCAACAGCAGACCCGATTATAACACCTTTTTTGTTCTTTTTGTGATGCATCACAAGTAGAGTCTCGACAGACGAAACCCCACTCAAGCTTCTAGCTGCATTGCTAATCTTCATGATTTCCAATCCATTCATAATCGCATTGATCCAATCGGCTCCTGTGTCTGGACCAACACTGACTGTCAGAACACCTGAATTCGTTGTGGAGTTGGAGACAAAGTCCCTGTAATACGGCACCTCCAAGTTACCAGCTGAATTTGACAAGTCTAGGTCCAGTAAAGCAATGTCATCATTTATATACAGGTTAAAAAGTAGAGTATTCATGGATTTGCTCACGATATCACAAAAATGTACACGGATGAAATACATGAAGCTCGGATCAACTGGGAACTCCCATGTAATATTGAAATTCCCGTCGGCAGTATTAGCATCTCCCATGGTTTCAGCAGTAGCATAAACCCAATTTGGTGCTATTTCAGGACGGATGGTATCTGGGTATTTTATGCTTGAAGGATTAACTGAAGCATTGACCGCAGAGCTGTTGACGTGCAGGTACTTCATGTCATTCTCCCAAGTTCTCCCTAAGGTATCATTCTGAGCAGTAACCAAAGGACCGCCCATGTTTAGCCGATAAACAGTCTCAAGGGCTAGTTCAGAAAGGCCATTGAAAGGGGCTGGTGGAGATACAGTAACTGCTTGTGCAGGAATCAACTCATCAGGTACTGAAACAACTTCAATCGCATTAATAAATGCAACGGAGTTGTTTGAAGGGATTAAAGCAATAGTCAAACTATCTGAAGTGACATTGATTGCATATTCCTTAAAAAGGTATTTACCTCTATACTTATTGAAACTGAAATTATTCAACAGAACAAAGTTTTCTGTGACCACAGTGATTGAGGCAGATGTTAAGTTATGGCCAGGAATAGGATAGAAATAAAGGCGAACCCAGTGTCGCCCTTGTTGATGAATATCAAACTTGTAAGATGTTGTAGTGTGGAAAATTCTAGCAGATTGGTAAATTGAAAATGGGGCAGTAGAATTGGATGTAGAAGCAATAGAATTTTCTGGACTTTCTAAAGCAACTGAAGAATGGGTTGTATCGGGAACAAAAATCTGGCCAAGAAAGGTTACATTTTTGGAAGATCCACAAGCAAGCAAATAGTTATCAGCAGGGGTAAATGCAGCATTGGATTCTTGAATTAAAAAACTGGACAGTACAACAACTAGAACAAACATCATCATTTCGACAAGCTACTGCTAAACACCAGAATTCTCCAAAAAGAATTTTAAGTGCTGATTTTGCAAACCATTAATACTAGAACTTGAACTTCCCAAAAAGCCCTCAATCTCACAATGATTCAAGAATCATAGATCTATCTGGAGCAATGTAAGAGCAAAAAGACTTAAGCTTTTGGTACTACCCTTACCTCATTCTAAGAGCTAACAAGTTCTAACAAACTTGAAGATTTGAAATGGGTGTGAAGCAAAAAAAGAAGAAAGAATAATATACCTCAAATGCCACCATGAAAACACAATGAAGTAGAGCTTTTTTAGTGCAAGTTCAACAGCTCTTTACAGGCTGTTGAAGTGTTGATTAGGCTGTCATTTTTACATAGATATAGCAAAGAGAAAAATGAGGGACCCACAGAAGACCTGCATATTATACCCCCTTTCAACCCACACCTGTTTTTCAAGGGACATTGTAGTTTGGTTTGATAGTCAGTATCTTTAGTAAAATGTAGAATATTATAGCAGAAAATGCTATGAAACTTCTGCAAGTGATCGTTAATAATTTATCTATCTGTACCAGGCTCCGGTTTGCATGGAATTTTTTATTTTATTTTTTATAATGCAATAGTAGATATAATGATTGAAAGGGATAAAAAGAAAACGAGGTGTAACATTGATGTGATTTTAATGATTAAAAGTGATAAAAGAAACAGGATAAGCTTAATATTAATGTTCATTTAGGTAAAAACATAAAACAATAGAAACAAAGATTCGTATAGAGATAACAATTAGTTGGAATTTACTTTTAAATGTTGTTACAATTAAATGATATATGATATTAGTCAGGAGTGCTTTTATTCTAGATATGTTATACGGATAAATGCAAGTTTTGTAGGGCTTATTAGCTATACATTGCAGAGATTTAGGTATTAGCCAATTTAGGTATCAGTTAATTCAAGTATAAGGTATAGCTACTTTGTGTTTGTTGGTAAATTGAAGTAATAGCTAAATTTGAGATACGTAAAAGTTATAATGATACTAGTTATATCAAAACGAAAATGATAAGTAAACGAAGCATAAGTAATACCAAAGTTTGTTATTTTTTACCTTCTTATACTATATATGAAACTTTATTACCCTCCCCAATCAAGTTTTAACTTAATTACATGGGCATATACAATTTATCAATTATATACAAATTAGTTTTAAATGAGTATTATGAATTGAATAGGGAATCCTCAACCCTGTGCACGCTCTATCTCACCATCTCACTTTCTCTCTCTCTCTCCGTCTCTTTCTATTTCTCTCCTTCTCTGTTATTTCCCCAATTTTCATCCTTCGTTTTTCTCTGCTTTTCATCCTCTCTTTTTTTTCCAGAAAATTCATCAATGAATTTCAATTGTTATAATATAGAGTTTTAATTTAGCAATTTCTTTACATGTTGCATAATTGGTGTTCGAATTTAAATTGTCAATCAATAAATTTTGAAGGTGTTTGTGTCATGACCTAAACTGATGGGCCGCGACGGGCACCCGGTACCTTACTCAATCGAGTACCAACGTAATTGTATATTCTTATTATATCATCATAG